CCCCAAAGGGCGGGGGGGCAGCTCCGGGTCGGGCCGACCCCCCCCAAAACAAACCGTGCAGACGTTTTTGTGTTAATTACCAAACATAATTAATGAATTAAGTAATGTTGAATTACTGCAGCTCCCGCGGGGGGAGGGGGCACAAAGGTGGCGGGGCCTCCCCAAAAACCCCGAACCGAGGGGTGGGGGTGGCTCGGGGGTGTCCCCGACTGTCCCCGGCTCTCTCCGGATGTCCCCGATTGTCGCGGCTCCGCTGGCCCGGGAACGGGATGGATCGTCCGGCGGCGGTGACGCCTCTGGGGACAGCTGGGGACATCTCTGAGGACAGCTGGGGACACCTTTGGGGACACCTTTGGGGACAGCTGGGGACACCTGGGGACGCCTTTGGGGACACCTGGGGACAGCTGGGGACGCCTCTGGGGACACCTTTGGGGACACCTTTGGGGACACCTGGGGACAGCTGGGGACACCTGGGGACACTTGGGGACACCTGGGGACACCTCTGGGGACACCTGGGGACACCTTTGGGGACACTTTTGGGGACACAACCTCCGGCCATGGTGACACCTCTGGGGACATCTGGGGACACCTGGGGACGACTTTGGGGACATCTGGGGACACCTGGGGACACCTCTGGGGACACCTGGGGACACCTTTGGGGACACCTCTGGGGACACCTGGGGACACCTGGGGACACCTTTGGGGACACCTCTGGGGACATCTGGGGACGCCTTTGGGGACACCTTTGGGGACATCTGGGGACACCTGGGGACACCTCTGGGGACACCTCTGGGGACACCTTTGGGGACACCTTTGGGGACATCTGGGGACGCCTTTGGGGACACCTTTGGGGACACCTTTGGCTGGGAAACAGCCACGGGTGACGCTCAGGGACCCCGTGTCCCCTCCTGTCCCCCTGCCAGCCCCGGGGGACAATGGCCACTGTCCCCTCCCCGCCACCGCCCTCACCTGCCCGTCGCATGGGGAGGGGACACACGCGACCCCCGGGCACAGCGCGATGTCCCCCGGCTGCTCCCCGGTGCCACCGGCGGTGCCACCAGCGGTGCCACCAGCGGTGCCACCAGAGGTGCCACCAGCGGTGTCACCGGTGCCACCGGCGGTGCCACCGCCGCCGGGCACCGCGCGTTAATCATTGACAGCCTCAGTTTCCCCCGATTGTCGCACGGGGCCACCACCTCCCCACCCCCCTGAGCGTTCCCAACGCTTCTGGGGCCGCGGGGCCCCAAAAAGGGTCAGGGGTCCCCCAAAATCCGCCCCGAAACCTCAAAAATCCCCCCAAATCTGTTCCAAACCCCCAAAAATCCCCCCAAATCTGCTCCAAAACCTCAAAACCCCCCAAATGCACTCCAAAACCTCAAAAATCCCCCCGAACCCCCTAAATTCTCTTCCAAATCACAATAATCCCCCCAAATCCTTAAAAGTCCCCCCAAATCTCCCCAAATCCACCCCCAAAATCCTAAAAATCTCCCCAAATCCCCTAAAATCCTCCCCAACACCCCAAAAATCCCTACAAAACCGCTCCAAAATTTCCTCCAAACCACCCTAAAATGCCCCAAATCCCCCCAAAGCCCCCCAAATCCCCCCAGACCCTCCAGGTCAAGCAGAGAGCGACACGTCCAGTTCAGGCTCCTTTAATTTGCGCCTCAGCCCCCCCCAAAAC